TGTCTTATTTCCGGAGCTGAGAGTCTCTCCCGCTGCAGAACGCCACGGGATGTTTCAGTGAAATAAAAAGACACTTTTCTGCTTTCTGTTGGAGAGTTTCTCACAGCAGCACTCTCTCTCAGCGAGGAAGCAGGACACACTTTAATCACTGTTTGACCGAGAGAGCGGCTAAATGCTGAGCGATTGTTGGGCTGATAATGAAGTCAGCACCAGGAGCACGTGGATCAAAGAGTTTTCAAACATTTAGCAGAAGGCTGATTGCAGAAATGTGAAAAATTGATGTGTCAAATCTGACCGATTTACTACTTTCATCAATCATTACTTTTTTGTTTTACATTCGATTGCATGAAGGCTTTATGATATCCTTCACAGTAGACATTTGAACATATACAATTAGCTGATCACCACTTTCATTGAATTTTGGATGATTTAGTCAACTTTGTAACACAAACACCCACACACACATACTCTAGATGTGTCCCCCCCCCCCTTATGTGCCCAATCCCCCCCATGTGAATCACACCTGGCACACACAAACGTAATTAAACGTTAGTGTAATTGTTTGCCTGTCTGGCCATCGTAATCGCGCTCTTTGAAGATCCGAAAATCCAGGGTTTTCTTACATTTCTGATCGGATTGGCAAAAACTTCAGAATTTGAATTGACCGCCAATCAAATAACAGCGTTGTTTTCCCCCAAAAGTGGGCGGAGCCGTACTTTTTGCCCGGAAGTTACTCTCATGTATATATGATGATTTTATGACGTAATAAAAGGTTTTTATTTGGGGTTTTTTGGACTATATTTCATTCTTTGTCAGCCTTCATCCTTATTGATAACCTGGAAATTCTCTGTTCCCCAACATTTTTTTGTTTTAGTTAGTAATATATAGGGATGTAACGATACCAAAAACTCACGGTACGATAATATCGCGATAACAAGTCCACGGTACGGTATTTATCGCGATATTGAATAATAAAGAAAAAAAAATTAAATTTAAAAATGTTTTACTTGGAAAAATGTTCTTTATTAAATAATAAATCTGATTTGTACAGCATTTTAGTAGGATAGCAGTATTTTAAAGTGTCAAAAACAAAGTGACAGTAACAGACTGGAACAAGAAAACCAGTGTTTTTGTACCTACTAGTACTACAAAACAAATAGGCATTTTCTTTGTGCCACTGCACCTCACAAATAAACAAGGACATTTAATAATCAGACCCCGCAATAAAATAAATCAAGTTTCACTTTAGTTTTTCAAGTAACTCAACTCAAACTCACTAAGTCACTCACTCAGCATCATCAGACAGGTTTTTAGGAATATAAGCATGCCCACATTTCCAGGTAGAAGCTGGGATGTTTGGGCGTTTACAATATCCCCTGCTGTGGAAAAAACTCTCTCGCTTGGTACTGATGTTGCTGGGACAGCAGTGGTCGCGTTAACCGAATATTTTTTATCGCGGTAGATTTTGTCAGTCTCACGACGGTATTGGGACGTTTATTTATCGCGATACTGCGATATTTGGTATATTGTTATATCCCTAGTAATATATGTAAAGTTTGAGTGTCCAGCGTTTAGAAACTACCAGAGGCAACTTGCATAATTAGCATGAGTTGCATGAATTAGCATAATTAACATAATTTATAAGTTGCATGTTAACCTCGTGCAGCATTCAGAGGGTCGGCATGTGAAGAGTTTGCATGGTAACATTTTCAGAATTACAATAAGGAATTTGCCGTCATTAACTATGGTATGTTCAGTATGTTGGCTTGTTAGTGATGTGATGCATATTAATAAGTGACGTGCACTCAAATAATTAGCATGCAATGAGTAGCATAAATGATGTGGATTATTTTAATTAAACAACAATAAACAACAATAAACAATAAACAATTCAGAAGATGGACTCTAATTGTTCTTCTTAAAGAAAAGTATAAAAAAAACATTAAATGTTTTTGTGAGCATATTTTATTCATCTGATATTAAATGTACAATTATGTTTGTCTCAAGATGTGCTTAGTGCGTTTTTTGTGTCTATTTTATTTAATATATATTGCTTGCAACAAATGCATTAAGTGCTGCAACTAACATTTCTTATTGTTATAAATTAATAATTTAAATGTCGTAAAATAATTTTGTCATTCCAAAGATTTTAGCTTTAATATAAAAATAATCCAGGAATTATCCTTAATTGACTGAAAACAGTATTTTTTGACATTGTTGCATGACAAATTAACACTTTAAATGCCTTTTTTCACTGTTTCTATTTTATAAACGAGCTATTAAAATAGGTAAAAATGTAATTTATGTGTGTATATAATTATATTTATATATGCGACATTTTACTGTTGTAGACAAACAAAGCTAACACTGTCTGTCACAATATTGTTTCCACACATCCATGCTGTTATATCTATCAACTCTTATGCAGATTCATATTTATACACCTTACTGTTTATATATCCGTTTTATTTTTTGTTTTCATCCATTTTGGGACTTTTTTCTTTACAATTTGGAGCTATTTTAATGCATTTTTTGCTGCAAACCCCTGAAATCTTCCGTACCTGAAACGGAAACATGTCCTCTCTCCTTCCTCTCATTACCTCGGTCTCCTCCTCTCATTTCTCCCCTGATCCTTCCTCCACCTCTGACCTCTCTCCACATTTCTTCTCTGTGTCTCAGAGCTTTAACCGTCTGACAGACGGAGAGAGACACACACTTCCTCTGGGTTTAAATATATATATATTTATATAACTCCATCACATCTCCATCTCTCCTCACTCAGGCACTTCCTGTTCCCGTTCGCTCTGCTTTCATCTCTCTTTCTGTCCCATTAAATCTCCCTTTGTATCCTCTCACTCTGCTCCACTGTCTCTGTATCCCATCATCTGTTTCTGTGTCTCCTGCAGTCTCACTTTCCTTTAACGAGCGACACGAGGAAGGAGACCAAATCCCTGAAACTCTCAAAAACACGGAATAAAGAAGCGGCAGGAGATGAAAACACTCCACTTAAAATGTACTGTTACCTGCAACCAGGAATAGCCTGCATGTGTTGTGGTCAACAGGAAGTTGAATCACGTATTTAAAGCTTATTTTTCTTTCTAAAACGTCTATACTGATAGTATATACTAATGTCTTCAGTTATGTCTGTGCCACATTTGATATATTACCTCTACCTGATTCTGCTTCAACAACCCTGACACCAGCGAAGGTCCACATACATGCATAAAAACATTTAAAAAGATGAAAATGGCACACCTCTCTGGAAATGACATGAACAAAGATGGCGACCAACTAACCCTGACACCAGCGAGGGTGATGAATAATATAAACTACACACACAGAAGAAACCCATAACTTAACATGGTGTCCATTCCTCTTTCTGCTGGTATTTGATAACCAAACGTGACTCCAGCAAAGGTCCACATGCATGCATGAATAATAAACACACACACACACACACACACACACACACACACACACACACACACACACACACACACACACACACACACACACACACACACACACACACACACACACACACACACACACACACACACACACACACACACACACACACACACACACACACACACACACACACACACACACACACACACACACACACACACACACACACACACACACACACACACACACACACACACACACACACACACACACACACACACACACACACACACTTCTAGGAAAACACACTCGTTTTATCTAGATTGTGGATTGTTTTTCCACCCAAACATACATTTAGGAGATTAAAGGTTGCATCACATCTTTGGAAAAGCACACACACATCTCTGGGAACAAGGAGAGGAAGCTCTCTTCTTTAAAATCTCCCAACCTACCAAGGAAACACTCAAGTTTCAGCAGGATTTCGTGTTTTTGTCACACCAAAAAGAGATTTTTAGGAGCTTAAATGTTCCAAAAGTACATGTTTGAAATATAAAATCACAATGGCACAAATCACAGTGAAGCAAGTGAGGTAGCTCAATCAGTTTCAGCAGGTTTGAGTATTTCTGTCTGCACTTCAGGAGCTTCAACTTTGCAAAACTGATTCTTAAAGCTATAAAACTAAAATGGCAGCCCTGTGTATGAACAAAGATGGCGTCCTACCTCCTTCTGGTGGTACTTGATGGCCAGCTTGAGCTTGGCGAGGTCGTGGCACTGCCGGGGGTCCAGCTCCTCGCTCTGGTCGTTGTCCCGGTGGTTCAGGATGGTCTCCAGCTCTCTGGAGCTCCGCGCCTGGTCCAGAAGGTCTTTGGCAAAACGCTTGCACTGCTGAGAGAGCTCCTCGTACTCCTGCCGAAACTCGTTCTCCACCTGGAGAGGAGAGAGGGCGGGGGGAAAGGGTTTCAGAGGAGATGATGGATGATATTGAAGCTCAAGCCGGTGACCAGTGATTATTAAAGGTCACCTATCATGCTATTTTTAGGCAATAGCATAGGACTCAGATATATAAAAAACATGTCTATGAAGTGCTTTGCTAAAAAAAACAAACAGATCACCCATTCTAGACATGCCTCATATCCCTCTATTTCACTTCCTGTTTCAAAAGTGCTGATTCTGGGTATAAACAGGTCTCTCTTGAGAATGAGACCATGGTTGCGGTCGAATAGTCCATTTAGCTTAGGAACCTTCCTAACGGAGTGAAATGACCCGGAAGTCCCTCAGTGGCAGCCATGATAAGTGCCGTTCGAATTCTCTAGATGAAAGGAAAGGAGGTTTCAAACTTCCTTTATAATGTCCTTTAGCTTAGGAACCACTGGACCTTCCTTTACGAAAGGAAAGGAGAAAATGCTGCCCCACAATGCCTTGCGGCCGCGGCATTTGCCGTCACACAACAGTCGGCCGTTCACGGAAACAACCGATTATGACCGATAAATGATATCATGAAAGTTACGGTGCTTATTAAGCTTTTTAAAACGTATGTGGTAAGTTGCCAAAGTGCTTTGTTTTGAACGTTCATCAGTATTATAATCAAAAAGAGAAATGTGAACGTTAGTTTTTAGTGAAATGATCAAATAAAGTCAACATTTCACAGTCTTTACTGAGCTGTGTGGGGTTTGTTCAACTTTTAAAAGATGTTTGAATGGTGATATACACAGTGATAGATGTTAAGGACTAACACGTTTATAATAAATACATGTGTATTTATTTCTGAAACAGTATGGAGCTCAAAGGCTTTCTCTCTTGCCGGTTATACCACAAGGTGAGTTCCTTTTTATTTCCTGCTTCTTCACACACATGCTCTCCAGTACAGGTTAGCTCTGAGTGTTAGCGATGCTAATGTAAACACCGACCATATTACGTCCAAAACAGTCGGGCATTGTTTCTGATAGCAACGTTTCTGATAGGGCCGTGGGTGTAAAGCCCGCCTACATTTCCGATATTACGTCATATCGGACGCAAATCTGGATCAGCTCCGTTGTTCCTCCGTTTTTAGAGATTTGGGTACGGAGGTACACACTGGGGACACATCTTGATGTATAAAAGACATCAAAAATTGCATTTTGCATGATAGGTCCCCTTTAACATTTTTAAGTATTCAGAAAAAGTCAGAATTTTGAGAAAAAAGTCTGATTTTTTAGATGTTTAGAAAAAAGTCAGAATTTTGAGATTTTGAGAAAAAGTCAGAATTTTGAGAAAAAGTCAGAATTTTAAGAGAAAGTCAGAATTTTGACAGTTTGAGAAAAACCAGGACACTGTTCAGGAACTAGTTGGACCAAATGCTCTGTTTGTGAAGACTACTTCCATTCTTGAGAGGATAATGGATACATGGATCTTGATGTTGAAGCTCAAGCCGGTGACCAGTGATATTTTTCTAACATAGTTTAGTGTTAATCGTCACCTTGCTGAGCTCCTTGAGCTCCCAGCCCAGCCTGAAGGCGGTGAGGATGGGGTCTTCACTGGACAGAGCGATGAGGGAGGGGGAGGCCAGAGCTTTGTAGATGTTCAGTCGAGACCTGGAATGACGCAGACTGTCCACCTGCAGGCGAAACAAGGAGAAACACTCATTTAGGACTTTATTCAGCAAATTACTTCAGCCACATCATAGTCTATATTACATTAAGGCAGAGGTGGGAAGTAGTGGAGTACAAATACTTCGTTACTGTACTTAAGTACATTCTTCTGGTATCAGTACTTTACTCCACTACTTATTCTTCTGACGACTTTTTACTTTGACTTCTTACATTTTGAACACAAAGACCTGTACTTTCTACTTCTTACATGTTGAACCCAAATACCTGTACTTTCTACTTCTTACATGTTGAACACAAATACCTGTACTTTCTACTTCTTACATGTTGAACCCAAATACCTGTACTTTCTACTTCTTACATGTTGAACACAAATACCTGTACTTTCTACTTCTTACATTTTGAACTCAAATACCTGTACTTTCTACTTCTTACATTTTGAACCCAAATACCTGTACTTTCTACTTCTTACATGTTGAACACAAATACCTGTACTTTCTACTTCTGACATGTTGAACCCAAATACCTGTACTTTCTACTTCTTACATTGTGAACACAAATACCTGTACTTTCTACTTCTTACATGTTGAACTCAAATACCTGTACTTTCTACTTCTTACATTTTGAACCCAAATACCTGTACTTTCTACTTCTTACATGTTGAACACAAATACCTGTACTTTCTACTTCTTACATTGTGAACACAAATACCTGTACTTTCTACTTCTTACATGTTGAACACAAATACCTGTACTTTCTACTTCTTACATTGTGAACACAAATACCTGTACTTTCTACTTCTTACATGTTGAACTCAAATACCTGTACTTTCTACTTCTTACATGTTGAACCCAAATACCTGTACTTTCTACTTCTTACATTGTGAACACAAATACCTGTACTTTCTACTTCTTACATTTTGAACACAAATACCTGTACTTTCTACTTCTTACATGTTGAACACAAATACCTGTACTTTCTACTTCTTACATGTTGAACCCAAATACCTGTACTTTCTACTTCTTACATTTTGAACCCAAATACCTGTACTTTCTACTTCTTACATGTTGAACCCAAATACCTGTACTTTCTACTTCTTACATGTTGAACACAAATACCTGTACTTTCTACTTCTTACATGTTGAACCCAAATACCTGTACTTTCTACTTCTTACATGTTGAACCCAAATACCTGTACTTTCTACTTCTTACATGTTGAACCCAAATACCTGTACTTTCTACTTCTTACATGTTGAACCCAAATACCTGTACTTTCTACTTCTTACATTTTGAACCCAAATACCTGTACTTTCTACTTCTTACATTTTGAACCCAAATACCTGTACTTTCTACTTCTTACATGTTGAACACAAATACCTGTACTTTCTACTTCTCACATGTTGAACCCAAATACCTGTACTTTCTACTTCTTACATGTTGAACCCAAATACCTGTACTTTCTACTTCTTACATGTTGAACCCAAATACCTGTACTTTCTACTTCTTACATGTTGAACCCAAATACCTGTACTTTCTACTTCTTACATGTTGAACCCAAATACCTGTACTTTCTACTTCTTACATGTTGAACCCAAATACCTGTACTTTCTACTTCTTACATGTTGAACACAAATACCTGTACTTTCTACTTCTTACATTTTGAACCCAAATACCTGTACTTTCTACTTCTTACATTTTGAACCCAAATACCTGTACTTTCTACTTCTTACATGTTGAACACAAATACCTGTACTTTCTACTTCTTACATGTTGAACACAAATACCTGTACTTTCTACTTCTCACATGTTGAACCCAAATACCTGTACTTTCTACTTCTTACATGTTGAACACAAATACCTGTACTTTCTACTTCTCACATGTTGAACCCAAATACCTGTACTTTCTACTTCTCACATGTTGAACCCAAATACCTGTACTTTCTACTTCTTACATGTTGAACACAAATACCTGTACTTTCTACTTCTTACATGTTGAACACAAATACCTGTACTTTCTACTTCTCACATGTTGAACCCAAATACCTGTACTTTCTACTTCTTACATGTTGAACACAAATACCTGTACTTTCTACTTCTCACATGTTGAACTCAAATACCTGTACTTTCTACTTCTCACATGTTGAACCCAAATACCTGTACTTTCTACTTCTTACATGTTGAACTCAAATACCTGTACTTTCTACTTCTCACATTTCCCAAACAGGCTGGTTCCTTTAGTTTGAATGTGTGTTTGGTGGCGTGATCATTATTATTTAGAGTCATTGCGTGCCTATTGATTTGAACACGATCCGTGTATCCATCATTTCCTGGTCTTCTCTAAAGAAGAGGGACCAATGAAAACGTTGTCATGTTGCCGTTGTTCAGCATGGAAACATTCATTAGCTAACAATGACATTATTGTTCTATTAATATAAAGGGAGGTCAGGTACTCTTTAAAACAGCTGCTAGTTATGGGTACTTTTTACTGAAGTACATTTCAAAGTCTCTTTACTTTTACTTGAGTAAAGAAGTTTAGTCAGTACTTCTACTCTTACCAGAGTATTTTTAAATACGAGTATCTGTACTTCTACTTGAGTAAAGGATGTGTGTACTCTTGCCCTCTCTGCATTAATGCACACAATATACACATTATCTGTTTTCTTTGTATTACTGCACATATTTTTATCCCATTTTATTTCAATGTAAATACTGCTATATTTATTCATGTTTTTTAATGTTATTATAGTTTTCTTAAAATAGTTCTCTATCTGTGATTTACATAGATTTACTTATCTTATTTTATCTTATCTTATCTCACCTCTGAGCTGGACACACACTCCACGCAGTCGCAGCGGATCTGGTGAGGTCTGGGGATCGTCACCTGTAAACAACAACAACCACATTATTAAAGATTAAGAGAAATTAAGGATAATATTGATAAATAAAATGTGTTTTTATTTGTATTTGTCACCTTCCTCGCCACCAGGAGTTTGATGATCTCGTAGTTGTTGGTGTGAGCAGCGAGCATGATGGGAGTTATGTCGGGGGTGAACTCTGAGAACTGGCTGTCCATCATCAGAGAGGGAACCTGAGGAAAAAACACTATTAAATTAAGATTACATCGTGTGACAAAAATCTTTATTTAAAATAAAAATTAGGTATTATTTAATTTTTTTATAAAACTTTCTTTCATTAAAAGTGTTGTTATAATTTATCATGGTAAAAGTGTTTACAACTAATATAAGTATTAATTACACATTAAAAAAGGAACGGGAATAGAACAGAAGTGGTGAGAATAATTTGAAATGTTTTAATTATTTGTACCTTATTATAACCTTTCTAAAATAAATAAAAAATAAGATGTAAAAAATAATTTAATGCCAATTATTTTTAAATGCTAATAATTTAATTTAAATGATAAATTAAATAAATTAAAAATATTACAAAATATTCTCTAAGTGGAAGTAGTAATGACTCTTTTTTATTAATGTAATATTCTCAATATATTTTCATCATTTACATTTCTTATCTTACTTGTTTGATTTCATTTAATTTTTTTCCTATTTAATGATGATGATGATGATGATGATGATGATGAGGATGATGATGATTTTAAAATGTTCTGTTTTCACATTTTATTTAATTGTATTTATTATTCATTCAGATTTGACGTGCTAAATAGCTGGACCTTAATGTAAAGTGTTCAAAACAAAAGAATAACAATTGTAAAATGTTTGCAAGCCGCTTAACATTAGGCGCGTACACACACACACACACACACACACACACACACACACACACACACACACACACACACACACACACACACACACACACACACACACACACACACACACCACACACACACACACACACACACACACACACACACACACACACACACACACACACACACACACACACACACACACACACACACACACACACACACACACACACACACCAATAAAGCAGGAGTGAGAGGAGCAGACTTGAGGAAGAGGAGGGAGAGAGGGAGAGTGTCTTCGTCTCTCACTCTTCCTCCTCCTCACCTCCTCCTCTTCCTCTTCTCTCCTCCTTCACACCCTTCTCCCTCCCTCTCTCTCCTCGTCTGACCTCCCGCCATCTTTGTTTTTCTCTCTGCTGCCAAAATCTCTCTCCTTCTCACTCGCCCTTTTTACTTTTCCCTGCCGTGATAAGAAGTGTGAAGCAGCTGGGCGTCACACACACACACACACACACACACACACACACACACACACACACACACACACACACACACACACACACACACACACACACACACACACACACACACACACACACCACACACACACACACACACACACACACACACACACACACACACACACACACACACACACACACACACACACACACACACACACACACACACACACACACACACACACACAGGTGTATAACATATAGTTTGTGTTTTTTTCCTATTTTTCTGTAAAGGAGTAGATTTTTCATGCTTTTTAATATTTCCTCGCCTCTTCCTCCTCCTCCTCTTCCTCCTTCTGAATACACTCCCACCAGAACTGACCCACATAAGAAATAACAGAAAACACACTGCGATAGTTTCACTTCTATGTCTTTACTTGACATTTTATTAAAGCTCTTCCAAAACAGACGACTGGTTATCCTAACTCGACATGAAATGAATCACATATCCTTATGTTAGTGACCAAAACCCTTATGTTGTGTTCGGGTCTCTCGTGACCCGTTTCAAGTTCAAATCATATAATAACTACGCTCTAGTTTTTTTTATCGGAACAAGGCTTCATGATATCCTCCACAACAGCTATATAAACACTACAGAACTGATTTTGACAACTTTAGCCAAGTCTGAAGGTCATACAAAAAAGTGTATCATTTGGTGTTGGGGTCTGGGGAGACCCAGCAGAATTGTTGTGGGTGACTCGGGGTCAAATTTGACCCAATCAAGATTCATCTTTGACTTTAGACACCTCGAACACCATGAACGGTAACAGCTTTTGAACACGGGGACGGGCAAACATTAAAACAGCGTGCTACAGTAAATTCAGAAAATGACATCACTTTACTGTAATGCCTTCAAAGCAGGAGAAGACACCTATTGCAATATCCAAAATGTAGGCAAATGTATAAATAATCATCCCAGAAAAAAACATGACATGCATTAATTGTAATTTTTTTTTTAAATGAGACAAAATGCAAAAAAGTCCAGAGGAGAATCTGACATGGTCCCAACACATCCGGGGGATAATTCGACCTAAAAAGTGCTTAAAATAAATGTTAGGAAATGAAATTATTCCTATTTTTAGGCAGAAATATACAGGAACTTGAGTTAATTGTTGTAAAGATACAAAAAAAATTAAATATACCATGCTACTTGCTGATTTTACGATGGTAAACTTGGTTAGTTTTGTTATTTTCTGACATAGCTATGCTAGCTGTTTCCTACTGTTTCCAGTCACTATGCTAAGCTAAGCTAACGTGCTCGCTGCATATGTGATGATTTTAATCAGAGCTGATAGTGAGTCCTAAAAAGATCAATTTAATAATTTAACTAAACATATTTCACTACTCAGAGCGGCTCTTGATGGATATAAACTTTAACACAAACTAGCATATGTTATAATTTATGGAAACATTATTAACCTCTTAAGCCCTGAACCTGTTTTTCAGGTCTCAGGCTCGAAAATGACATTCCCAGAACAAATGACCATATCTTCCCTTCTAAAAGGGTTAAATTAATAATCTTTTTTCTCAAAGTAATGATAAACCTGTGAGTTGGATGTAGAAAAGTCAGAATCAATATAGATGTTTTTTATTTTAAAGAAAATTCAGATTTTACATAGTAAAAAACTGTAAATTATAGTGTCCGTCCAACAATAATTTTTTACTTATAGTGAAAACTACCCTTGGATGATGGTAAGGTAGACTAAAAGCTTTAGGAATCCAAAGTACAACATATAATAAGTACCCTGTATCAAGATTGATACAAAACCAGTGACATTTGACCTTTTTAGAGAGATTTAGCAAAAAGAAACCACTTCTGGGGTCATTTGGGTGGATTTTCCATATCTCTGGCCCCCCTTGCTCGATTTTGATGGTTGACACCTCTTTCTGACCGTTATAGCCAATAGAATCAAAGGGGGAGTCCCCCACACACACACGTTGTAAAACAAACGTGTAAAAAAGCTGGGGGCTTTGCGCATGTAATTTAGCATGAGAGTGAAGCTACCTCTCGCTCTGACATCTAGAAAAGGAAAAGCAGTTTTAATGCTTATGGATTATCAGAAATCATTTCAAAGGGACACAGACACATTAGATTAACCATGGATTAACTTCAGCATCGTTTTTATCGTTTTAATGCCATTGAAGACCACTTTGGAGAGACTACAGAGACAAGGTAACCATGTTAGCATTTTTAGCTACCGAGCGCCACCTGTTTTGATGTCTGTTTTTGTTTATAACGTCGCGATTTTGTATAATTCAGTGGTAATGTCGGTGTCAATCGATTCTGTGTCACCTCACGATGTGTAACGATGTGTTGGATGTGGTGAAAAGATAAATAATAAGGTTTTGTGAGTGATTTTCGGTGCAGTACGGTGTTAGCATTTTTCGCTCGTTGCTAATTCAGAGGCTCAGTGTTAGCATTGTGGGTTTTATTTAGAAAAAATAAATAAAAATGATTTTTTAAATATACTTTTAAATTGTATTTATTTTATATCTTAAAGACTACAAATTACCTTAATTTTTCTATATATTATTTAATTATATTTAATACAAAGTATCACTTCTTCTTCTGTAGTTTCACTGACGGATCCACGAGAGAGGGACAATATTGAAGAGGGAAAACAGAAACACAGCGAGAACCATTTGGTATTTCCTCGTCCAGCTGAGCGCCGACCAAAAAAAAAAACCATCCCACAATCCCCTGCTCCCAGCCAAGGGTTGGTTGCCATGGTGATGTCAAGGAATTAATGTAGAAGAAGAAGAGGAAGAGGAGGAAGAAGTAGAAGAGCCTTTTTCCTCGTCCTTCTTTACTCTCTTATGATTTTAATTTTAATTTATCACACACACACACACACACACACACACACACACACACAAACACACACCACACACACACACACACACACACACACACACACACACACACACACACACACACACACACACACACACACACACACACACACACACACACACACACACACACACACACACACACACACACACACACACACACACACACACACACACAAATAAACCTGTATATATGCACCTGGATGCAACAGATTAACAGGTATCCTTGCAGGTAACGTCCTCACATACTCTCTTTCTCCCTCTCTCTCTCTCTCTCTCTCTCTCTCTCTCACCTGCTTCTCCCCGCTGGGCCTCCGGTGGCTCAGCAGCAGCTCCACGGCGCCCACCACCTCCTTGCGGATGGCGTACAGCAGGGCGTCCCCGGTGTGGATGCCGTGGTCCAGCAGCAGCTCCATGATCTCCAGGTTCTCGTTCTCGATGGCGATGAGCAGCGCGCTGCGGCCCAGCGGGTCCAGGCAGTTCACGTCCATGTTGTAGTACACCTCCGCCTCCCGGAGCGCATGCTTCACCCCCGCATAGTCCCCTGAGGAGAGGGGGAGGGAGGGAGGACATAAGGGTTAGAGTCAAATGCTTTAGTTAGGCTAACACACACACACACATATATAAGTATCCCATGCAATCACACACACAGGAAAGCTGCTTTTAAGGACACATGTCATGCTTTTCTGGTTATTACCCGTCCCCTTGTGTGTTATGAAGGTTTTTCTGCATGTAAACGGTGTGCAGAGTCACAAACGCTCAAAGTACACCCTGTAGCGAGTACAACTCTAACACAGAACATACTTGTCTATGCTGCCCCAGAACGCCTCGTTGGAGATTTCTCTTTTTCTTCCTGGGTACAGTGACGTGCCCATACCCAAATGGACCAATCGGTGGAGCTGTTATGTTACGTCCGCGGAGCCTTTACGTCCGTGGATTGGTCCAAATTGACCAATCCGCAGACTTCCTCACACACACACACTCAATCTTTTCTCAGCTGCAGAGTCGGTGTGTGAGCACACACACAAACTCCCAGCCAGGCTGCGGGTGTGTGTGTGTGTTCGGGCTGGGTTTCGCTGTGTCTCGCTTTCTCGCAGACGGCCACTGGGCTCATAGGGAGGGGGGGGGCAGGAGCTCCAACAAGCCGTTTAGGACAGAGAGTGAATACACATACTATACAGAGATGCTGTATGAGAACCCAATGTGAGTTTGGAACATTGCACAATATAAATGTATTCTAGTCGAACTCATGGAATTATGATCAGTAGAAATGGCCATGACATGGGACCTTTAACACAAACTCTCTAACACTCGACCTTTACACGTTTAGCCAATTTCAATGTACATGTGTGTGTGTGTGTGTGTGTGTGTGTGTGTGTGTGTGTGTGTGAGGATGTTACCTGCATTTATGCAAGTTCATTCATCCGTGAAGTTACGTTCGCGTGTGTGATAAAGCACATTTCAATATTCCCTCATTGGTCCGATGACAAGTATGATTTGTCATGAACAAAAATAAAAGGTGTGTGTGTGTGTGTGTGTGTGTGTGTGTGTGTGTGTGTGTGTGTGTGTGTGTGTGTGCCCTCGTATACATATTATTTTTGGCAGTAAATATTTATGGCTATAATCTAAAATGTCTATAGAAATGTATTTACTGTCATTTTTGGGGTAATGTTTTTTTTTTTCAACATTCATCACACAATATCAACTGTCTAATATATGTTTGTTGTAACACTTTATTTAGCATATTTATAAGCTAATTATGTAATCAAAGTTAAGCACAATAAAAAAAAGGGGAAAACTACATTTGAGGTATTTTGTGGCAGTTTTCTTCCACATCATTAGTAGATATTGAGTGATCTGAAATACCTGTGGTTTGATGCTAGTGTGTAATTGTACATTTCCAATATGTTCATTAAACGTACCTTTCTCCACGGCGGTGAGGTAGGCCCTCTCCTCCGCAGACAGCTCCACCTCCGCCCGCACGATCTGCAGTGGGATGCGGTCGCGGTACGGCGAATATGTCGCCTGATTCAACAAAAACAAACACAGAAAAATTTCAAATACACCGAATAAAATGTGGTAAAATACAGTGAAATAAGGAGAAAAGTAACCCCACTATCACAGCATGGTGCTGCCTCCTTGACTGTTGGTTTTCTTCAAATAAATAGGTGCAAATGTAACTTTAGGGATTTACTAAATGCAACTGACTTGTATTATTACACTGTCAATGTGGGGAGTGAAACATTAATTAAGTAAATGCTTGAAGAGAGAAAGGTAGACTTATAATTAATGTTAAGGAGCGTTTTCCCTCCTGTCAGAAGTTTATTATTACACCATTATGTATATTAAGCTCCAGGGGAACGAGCAGAGGTTCTTCATCACGCAGCGTGTATTTAATGAGTGCGTTAAAGTGTAATGAAATAAAGCAGAGTCAGAAGCAGCTGACAGCGAGTGATCAAACGGGTGAGGATCAGTAAGAGCTGCAACATCAGGGGAATAAAAGGCAAGAAGAATGAGGAAAAACTCACTTTCTTTCATCGATAAAGTTACTTTAAAGGGGACCTATCATGCAAAATGCACTTTTGTACGTCTTTTCTACATGAATATGTGTCCCCGGTGTTCCAGGGAACTCACCAAGTGTCAGAAAACACAACCCTCTCTATTTTCCTCCATACCCAAATCTCTAAAAAAGGGGCTGCAACGGATCTGATAAAAACTGATCCAGATTTGAACACTGTCCTGACGTCAGGACGGTGGCGCTACGGCTATTGGGCCAACTCCACCAATCAGGAGGAGACAGCCACGGCCATTGCCGTTCGAAAGCGCTGGAGACGCTGTAGTACATATGCCAGGCCAGTAGATGGTGCTGTTCTCACTGAATCAGCCCTTGCTAAAACAGATCTAAAAAATGTCAAATTGAGCAAAATGAGGCATGGCTAAAATGCATGATCTGTTTGGTATTTTGAAAAAAAAAAAGTATAAATATGCCTTATATAGGTATGGTCCTACACTATATTATTCAAATATAGCATGATAGGTCCACTTTAAACTATCTTGTGTCAGTAAAGAGTTTGAATGACATTGCCGTCCCAGAGCCATGCGGATACAAGTGCAAATATTGAATTCTCACTGTTTGTTTGAGGGCTTAAACCGGATTATGGGTCAAATAAATACGCCGTTTGTTTGCCCGCTGAAATCAAATGTCTACTGTGAAGGATATCATGAAGCCTTAATGCAATCGAATGTACAACTAAAAAGTTATGATTGATGAAAGTAGTACATCGGTCAGATTTGACCCGAAGACAACAGGAGCGTTAAGGCAGTTTGTGTGTTTTAGGTTTTTCTTAAGTGTGCAGGGACGATATTGTGTGACTGTTTGTGTTTCACTCACCTTCTTGTAGTACAGCTGTGTCATTGGATTCATCGTGCAGTCTGGAAGAAACAGAGGAAAAAGAGAGAGTTACTAAGAGGGAGGAATATCAACAATACTGCTTTTAATACGAGCGAATATCAAAAGAAATAAGAGAATGTCACTATGTTCCTGAACACAGCCAAAAAGCACAATACGGCCTCTTTAAAGAACCCACATCTTCAGTAATTATCTCCTTTTCACTGACACACACACACACACACACACACACACACGCAGATCAGTGTGTGTTTCCTCTGGATTTACTCGTGCTGCTGGAACATTAATCCCACACTGCGGAGGAACATTTAAAGCAACAGAAATGCACCAAGAATAAACTAATGTGGGGCAATTAGGGTGCAATACGTGATAAAAACCTGCACAATTAAACCCAAATGTGGAAACAATAGAAGCGTCTGAATGGAAGAGGGTGATGAGGATTACACACATTCACCATACGCTGTATTTATAAAGGTATTAAGGAGACAAGAGGCTCTAATACTGAGAGATGAGGCTCATCCTGGGCTGAATGTATGCAGAGGAACTAATCTGGAACACTTTCACGGTGTGGACGTCCATCGCTGTCTCTCAGAAACACAAATACTGTCAGAGAGCTGAAGCGGACAGAAATAAGCGAGTCACTGCTGAGGTGGAGCTGGTATTTCAAATGGAAGAACTTTAACCTTAAAAACACTCAAAAAGGGCAAAAACACACTGCGGCGAAACACACATCCTGTAGAGCTCACACGCGTAAAAACAGGAAGAGTGACGAGTGCAAAAACACTACATTTAGACGGAAAATGTGTCGTAATTATTATTATTTCTTTTTTTTGTAATGCTTTTTTTATTTCTATTGAGATGTTTACATTTTGAGATGTTTATTTGTAGTCTTTTAATTTGTATTGTACAATGCCATGTCTCTTATCTTATTAAGACTTTATTTTAAAAAGTCATATAATTTCCCTTTATTTCTTAGGTTCATATTAATATGACTTTATATATATACTTGATATCTTACCTACCGCTTGTGTTTACACAGGTGGTGTAATTATATTATTATTTGTAATAACAGTTTGTTGGCGTCCAGCTGAAGGTCACGCTGCAGATACATGCAATTCAATTAAAATAAATCAAAGCTCGTTACAGAAAAATCTGACTGGTCCAAGGTCAGCGTGTTTCTCTGCAGATAATAATAATAATAATCTCCCTCGTTACGGCTGGAATAAATCAAAGTGCACGGAGGTATGACGTTTTTGGGACTGCTGAAACAATAAAAGATGTTGTGGGGGGGCGTGTGGTGCAGTTGGTGTTCGGATCAGGGGGTCACAGGTTCAAACCCCACTGCAGTCAGCATGTCGTTGTGTCCCTGAGACACTTCACCTCAAATTGCTCCTGTGGGGATTGCCCACAGTATTGAGTATGTAAGTCGCTTTGGAGAAAAGCGTCTAACAAGTGACATGTCATGTAATGTCGGAGGAGTCGGAGGATTTAAAGCACAAAGAGACAAAGGGTGTTTCTCAATGTCGAGTAAAGCTGCTTCAGAGCCACTATTTCAAGCATACTACGTCATCGAGACCCGCCGAAGGACTGTTCCAATGTCCAGCATACTTGGAATTCTATCGAGGCCGGCGTACTTTGTAGCGAGGAATTTCGAGGCTGCACATGTGTAGTCCTTAAAATCCCCACAATGCTTTGCGCACGGACCAACTTCCCCAAATCTGTGGCGGAAAATGTAAGGCGGGGCCTCTCATATGACGCACACCTGCACACTTGCTCACCTGTTCCACTCTTCGTTTTCCGAATGCCAGGAAGTATTCTTGCCTCGAAGTGACTCGGAAGACATGTGCTACCCAAGCAAGCGTACTCGACATTGAGAAACACCCTCAGTGTTCATTTATCTGTCGGCAGATGATGAAGCTCCTCTGACAGAAACAACACAGAACTGTGAAGTGACAGCGTCAAAGACAACGGAGCAAAAACATGCGTCGATACATCTGTGGTTCCTTCAGCAGAGACAACAGCTATGACTTCACATTTAAGATGCATGGTTTCATTTGTAAGGGAAGAACTGTCCCAAGACAAACAAATAAAAAAAAAGTATATTAACAAAAGCATAAGGGCATACAAATAAAAAAGATCAAACTCACTTAGCCATCTGACCTCAGAGGAGTTGCAGATAATAACTTCATATTTATTGAGGGGGAAACTTTGCTGGTTTGACAGGAGTTATTAATTAAGCACTGATAAATACATGTACAATAACTTCTTGTATTTGTGGTAATGTTGTATTGTTCTGTAAGCGTACTGTTCGATGTATCATAGGTCCAATTTATAGCCACTTTATATAGTATATATTAAACGTTTTTAGCTTGTATTGTCAAAATGATACTTCTACTGTCTGTTATGTGAGTGCACCTTTGGGAATGCTTGGAATTTCGCTGTAGTGACAATAAAGGAATCTAATCTCATTATTTGTCTTACTTAAATGATCGGAGGTTTAGCAGAAAGAGCAGCTTATTTCCAGTGAAACCAACGTGATAGAGATCTGCTCGTCCTCTCATTCTGAGGATGGACCCTGCAGTGGATGCAGACGCGTTCAGGATCTGCTTAGTGAGGAGGAATTTATGCTGACGGCTGTACAAAACTCCACTGAAGGAGTGACAGCACTGCAGATATCTCTCCATCGTTTCCTCCTCACCTTCATTTCCCTGCAGCCTGAAACACTTTTTTTTCCTTCTCTCCACCTCATGTTTCCGCGTCTCTCGTTGTTCCCGCTCAGTGTGTCTTATCTCTGCTCTTCAGAAACATCAAATGTTCTGCTCTGTTTTCTGCCTCTTGTTTCCGTCCCTGGGAAAGAAAAAAACCTCCCATCTTGAACTCGCTTCTCCTCATAATTCTTATCGCTCCCCTCTTTCCGACTCATTGCTTTCTCCTCGCTTGTTTTCCCTCGGCGCTCTCGCTCCTCGTGCATTTTTTAAACTGTGATGTCTGTTTACAGTCAGAGCCGAGGATCAGCTTCTTCTCTCAACTGAGGTAACCCCTTTCTGCACAGCTGCTCTGCGGGAAAACATGGATGTGCACGCAATAAAACACACACAGAAGCTATGATTTACAGATAAGATAAGATAGGACTTTATTTATCCCGAAGGAAATTGTTACACTAAAAAAAACTGGAAATCTTGCCAAGTATATGTGTCTAATATCTAGTCAGAATATGTCTTCACACCTGATATAAGACATACTAACTTCAGAAGTGACACTGCAGTGAGATATAGGGTCTTGTTTTTAGACAATGCATCATCTTGTTACGTCAACAAATCTTATTTTGAGTTGTATCTCAGATGATTTTTTTTCACATATTTATTGGAAAATCACCAACTAACATCAGAACACAGAACCTTTGAGGATTTACGGCTTATATTAGTCTCAACTCAGGTATGTCATCCAGTCCCTCAGTGCTGCACCTGAGAAGTTAAAGGGGTTCATTTCAGGTTGATATCAGTACTTTGTGCCTCTACTGTGACAGGTGAACATGCTTTACATAGAGAAGATGCAGCTGCAGGTAGAGAGACTCTCTGCAGGGGGTCTGACGTCACCTGGAGCAGCTGTCAGAGACTCTGAGTGACGTAATGACTTCCTGTCAAACCCAACGTCACATCTCCTCTGTTCAATCAATCAATCAATCAATGTTTATTTATATAGCCCAATATCACAAATGTTACATTTGTCTCAGTGGACTTCACAGTTTGTTCAGAATATCAGTATGGCAATACGACACCCTCTGTCCTTAGACCCTCACAATACGACACCCTCTGTCCTTAGACCCTCACATCGTACAAGGAAACACTTCCAGAGAGAAACCCCAAGCCACAGCCTTAACAGAGAGTATAAGTGTTAAAATCCTTTGTGGCAATGCATTGTGGGTCGTGTACGTCCCTTAAGGCCCTGACACACCAGGCAGTCACCAGAGAACTCGCCGACACCCGACACCGACAGTTCCATCGACGAGTTCTCCTGCGTCTTGGCCGTGTGTCGCACTGGAAATCACCGCAAAGACTTCAGCCGAGCACGTACGAACTGCGCATGCGTGAGTGGCAATAACTCTCCTTACCAGCAGGCGGCGGTAGTGTGTATTCGTCATTCAAAAGAGGCAACAACCGGAAGACAGAGAAGAAGAACAGACTGATATAAACAAACAAATAGCGTGTGCGTTCCATTTTCAGTCTCGTCCATCGAAAACATGTTTTAGAATATAAAAATACATGCATGATGAAATGAGCACATAAAGTGCAGACATACTATAAAATCACAGTTAATAGACCTGCATCTGATGATCGCAGTGTTCTGGCGGGTGTGTAGTTTATTGAGTCAGCAATGTAATAATGGCCACTTCTTGCTAAATTTACGATGAGATGAGAAACCGGACTTGACCAAACAAATCACGGAGCTCTCAGCAGAGGACAGCCGGGGACGCTCCCGCCGATATCAGAGATGTCCCTGCTATGTGTGGGAGGTAAGAGAGGACATTTAAGGGCTATGTTTGATGTCTTTAAGTATCACCTGCTGGGGTTTAGCTGCTGTCTTGTGCCTTAAATCGTTTGTTTACGTCCCTCACTTCCGTTTCGCTTCTCATTTGCTAGCTGAACAGCTGATCAGAGTGGTTTCTTGGCCCGATAGCTTGTGTCCGACAAATGGCCGATTCAACATGTTGAATCGGCCGGGTGTCGACCGTGAAAGGCCAAATAAGGCGTGTCACGGCCGAGGGTTCGGGACACACCAAATTGACTTTGGGCGACAAGGAACCCGTTGTCGCCAGACAACGCAAGACGGCCGATTTCGGCCTGGTGTGTCAGGGGCTTTAAAGGAGGAGAATGCTTTAGAAGATGCAGCTGCAGGTAGAGAGACTCTCTGCAGGGGGTCTGACGTCACCTGGAGCAGCTGTCAGAGACTCTGAGTGACGTAATGACTTCCTGCCCAATCTCCTCTGTTCTCTAAAGCCAACACAACAACAAAGAGAGACTGA